TAAGACGCAAGAGGAAGAAAGAAAGGAAAAAGCATGTAGTCACGTGGGTTAAAAGTATCATGTATCACATGAGTATCACCTTTTGGATACTATTCATATGTATACGATTTACCACACGTGTTACTAAAACGGTTTCGTGATTGGCTGAAGGTGTAAATATGAGAGGGACTCAAACCACGTTTCGTCCTTTCTCACTGTTTGAAGCTTTAGAAGAAGAACCACAAGAATGGCCTCCCAAAAGTCCATGAAGAAAGTCATAGTAAAACAGGAAGAGATCTACATGTTGGTAGATGTCATGTGCGACATGCTTATGGGCGACGAAACCCTAGAGGAGACTACGATCCTAAACTCCATCAAGGACAAGTTCGTATTCAAGCCAGAGGAACCGTACTATGATCATCAGAAGTACAGGGAGGCAAAAAGCGAAGTCATGAAGAGCTTACGCAAGTTGCTGCGCGTTATCGTAGAACGTCGTTTAGAGGAGAAAATTAAGAAGGTGAACTTCGCAGAGGATAAAGAAGAGGCAAGTAACAAGGAGTGAGAGACAATGTTTCTTTAAAAAACCAGCATGTATTAATGAGTTCAATTTTTGTAAAAAACTTGTTTGCAATGAATCGTGTGTAGTCATTTATGTTTCGATAGAGTGTTGTAAAGAGCTTCCCGATTCGTATCCCAAAGAAGTATATTATCAGACCTATCTATGCCCACACGAAATCTATAAATTCGATACACATTCCTGTACCAAAACGGGGCGCGCACGTGTCTTGCTGCATGCCATCTAAGGTTTTGAAGACACCCCTTCCTTAAAAAAATGTCATCGCCTTATTTCTCGCGTCGCGGACTATAGAGACGTGTGGCTGTTTCTCGTACTCGTTCGCGAGATTTTCAAACCGGACGAACCGCATATATACCCCCGCGCCGATATGACGATGAAAAGAGGGATTTTGAGGAGTGGTGTCATCTCGTGTTCGATGCAGCCTCCCAAAAACTCAGACGGTTCGGGATTTCCCAAGGAGCGCACATGCAGTTGTACTTATTTACGCGTTGGTACGAATTTGAGAGAGTGGGGAAGAAAATTCAGAACCACGGCTTTACGTTCGAGGATGTCATGAAAACCTACGAAGAATGGCAGGATTCGAGGCAAAAAACGATCATACTCATGAAGAATGTCGAAGCATGGACGGTAGTGAAATATTCAGAACGTTGGTGCGACATTAGATATAAAAATAGGTGTCAATGACTCAATAAAGACACATTCACATGAACTGATTGAAAATAACAGAAAGCACCCTGTTAGATAAAGCCGCACGAGTCGCAGCCGAAACTCAGATGTTAATGAGTGACCCACACACGCAGGCAGGGTTGAAAGAGCCCGTGATAAAACAATTATTAATACAAGAACGACAATTGACCGATCAGTTGAGACAATTACCCACAGGCGTAGGACCTGAGACGAGCGAAGGTGGAGATCAGGGGAATTTATTAGATTCGGTGCAAGAGAATCTGCTTAAAGACTTGATTCGTTCGGTAAAAACAGTCAAAGAACCTGCCGTCGTAGTAGAAGAGGCATTGACCACACCTTCGACTTCCAAGAAAAAGAAAGTGAAAAAGAGGGCTTTTACACCCAAGAAATTATTTTCTACACCGGGAACCAGTACCCCTAAACCCATCACTTTTCCTTTTACTCTGAGAAGTCTCAAAGACCTACCTTCGACACCCATTCTTGCGGGAAAACGATTGCTACCTTCGACTCCTCTCACTGGACCAAAGGCGGGAAGTTCTCATAAACCCTCTCCCAAAGTCAAAAAGACCACCCAGCAAGTGTGGGACCCGTGGGACGTGAGAGGTTGGGGATCCAGGAAAAGCCGCAGAGCATGCCGAATTCCAACCGAGCGCGCCGAAAGACAACGGCAAAGGCAAAGGCAAAGGAAAGGGGAAGGGGAAGAAGTAAAAGAAGTCAATCTGGAGGAAAAGTAGATCTTCAAAAATGGATTAATAAACTGGCTGTAGAATTTCATTGGCCCGGCTATCAGTATATGGGGCTTGGTACCAAATTAGCCATACGTCTTAAACGCGGGGATCCGGGTATTAATCGTCTCGATAAGTTAGCTAAGCAGCACGATATCGATTATAGTAAAGCTAAAAATCTAGCGGATAAACACGTGGCCGATCGTAAAATGATTACCGGTATTCAACGATTCGGTAAAAACACGATGACCGAGCGCATCGTAAAACGCATCATGCAAGCTAAAGTAAAAGCTGGATTGTAATGGATTTAAAAAGCAATAAAGCGTGTTGAAAAGGTATCATTTGACCATGTCTTTATTGGAGTGACGATGGATTCTTTTTATTTGACCCTTCCGAGTAACGATGACAGTATCAAGTATTTCCCAGAAAATACCGCCAATTCCTGGAAAAATCGTCTTTCATCCCTAATTGCATTAGATGAAGACTGGCAAGTTGGGTTGTCGAGTATTTCGCCCCCTCACGAATCTCGATTGAAAAAATACCTCAAGAACCTCCCAGATGCCTCTAGACTACTCACCCCCAAAAGACGGGTGTACGTGGTGGTCACGCAACAGCTTGATGTCACGACCACTTACGTGCATTATAGTGATATTAAAGACAAACCGCTGGACACACCACACGATCTTCTCAAAGCCTTATTCGAAGTGGAACGTGAAAAGTATCTTTTAAACTTGGGTGAATCTGGGGTGTGGGCCAATAAAATGCCTACGGGAAAATTTCCCACCCTAGCTACAATTTGACGTCTCTTTTGACGACACTCTAGAAACCTGTTCGGTATGCGCAGAGAAGATAGATCCAGATACTCTTTCTAACAAGGACCTCCGTGATCACGTGTATTTTGAGCTTCGTAAAGATTTGTGCATTTTATTGGGATGGAATCAACCAAAAGCGAGATTTACTGTCAGCACGTTTAAAAATGCAGCGAATCTAGCGTTTAGAAACGTGGTAACGTATGGTTTGAATCCAGATCCGTTTCAAGTATATAGAAAAGATATTGAAGTATGGAAGAAAATGGGGATATGCTCAAATTTTATCTTCACGAGCTCGTGGGGACATTTATAAACAGGAAGCGGTCTGCTTATAAACGAGGGACATCGGCATCCAGAACCTTTTATGTGTATTGCTCTATAGGGGATCCCGTCACTATAGGATCACAAAGAACGAATTTGTTGCTACAAGTCCCGTATCAACCTCAATTAAATGTAAGCTTTTTTGAAGTACCACCTAAGATTCGTTACGATCCATTACGTAATTATATGATCGACGTGACTGTAATTCAAATAAGTGAAACGGATACAAACTCAATGACACAGTTCGACTATGTTGCCTCTATTGTCTCGCTTCATTTTAGAAAGAAAATACAATAAAACACCCACGTACTTCTGAGAAACGTTTCATTTGAAAATAGATACGAGATGAGTAACTTTTACTGGACGTTAGCGAGTAACGATGGAAGCATCAAATATTTTCCGGGAAACACCAACAATTCTTGGAAAAATCGACTCAACAGACGCTTAGATTTGGAGGGGTACTGGGAAGTGGGATTGTCGAGCATTTCCTTACCGAACGAATCGCTCTTGATACCTTACCTGTAAGGGTTATCTGAAACGTGCATTATGATGAGAACATTTCGAATGGTTTACCGTTCTAGAGGGAATCTCGATCAGTTGATATTCTTGCACTCACTTGTATTCTAACCCCCCGTGCAGCTACGTGGTATGAACATTAATGAACCCTCTCGGCTGAGTGACTCGGACCCAGGCCGCGCGGGAGGTGCCAGTATGGCGCATCATACTACTTTCCTTCAAAGGAGAGAGCCATACATCAACCCTTCAACTCCCAAGAGGGATCAAGACAGAATTTCTCCCAACAATATCAATTCAATACCAAGCAGACAAGTGATGAGAGTTTGGAAGAATATCAAGTAGGGGGTCATTCGTTGATCAAATACCAAATTCTCGAAACTGACATCTTGAAAATTGTATGGCAGACAGTAAGGAGAATTACTAATCAGATCTCAGGAATGGAAGGGCGAAGAGAGAAAATGCGACACCATAAAAAATCACATGAAAACACCTTGTTTATTTATAAATTTGGCTTATAATCAACCCAGGTTAATTGCTGTACGTAACGAACAAATTTTGCTGTCTTTGTTGTTTGCATACGAAGCTGAACAGACAAAAAATAAACATGAAAAATGTAAAAACTTTTTTAAAAGTTAAACGAGTTAGTTAGACCTTACAGTCTGTAACACTCTTGGATAAATAATTTAACGAAAACACAGTTATCCTAAAATGCCATCTCAAAAATCTATGATTTTATTTAACAACTATTAACCGGAGTGGAGGTGGCTAGTGATGAATAATTACCGAGCTGCGAGGCGACGAGGTAAATATTAAGCGCAAGCCACCGACACTGAGGCGAGTAATTGTTTTAGTATATACTAAAACTGCGAGATAATGGAGCACAAAAAGGTGATTTAAACTCATTAATAACTTAGCTGGCAGAACCGCGCAATCAAATTTAGTATTCGTAGGCGTGCTCAAAATGCCGATAGTGCACGCTGATAGCGTGAGCAAATCGCTTTGCCAGAAATTTTTCTTTTCGCGCGAGCGGCCATTGTTAGCGTCGGGAAAAAAAATATATTTCGCGGTAATAATGGATACATACAGAGACTCGGCCCACCAGTCCCAAAACGAAGACAATTTTCCGACCTTTTCCCTTAGGGTGTGCGATAGAGCGTGCACTATCGGGATGTCGAGCACGCTTACGTATACTGAATTTGATTACGCGGCTCTGCTAGCTATGTTATAAAACTCGATAGCGCACGCTAAAGCATGAACCAATTGTTAATTATGCCTGCAAAGATTGCAATATTTACGGGCGCAAATCCCGCGCGAGTTTCCCGGAGGTGAATAGCAAAGGATATTAGGAGTTTGAGTGGCCAATCAGAGCGCACCTTCGGCGATATCCACTGTTTTAATATAAACTAATAGTTGTTAGCATCACCTTGCTAAGATTATATCTAATGTATTACAATAAATGGTTTTTTACGACTAGTAAGAACATGCTACAGCCTTTCATCACTCAACAGTGATCCTCCTGTACCTTAATTAGGGAATGAGGCACATATTTCAAAAAGGTTGAGAAAGTGTCGACAATAACTCTTTCTGTGGTATCTTCTTGAATTCCCTGTTATGTAGTAAACCTTAGGAGTGCGTCATCTAGCTTATTTGAATACTGTGAGCATATACCTGAATTTTATGACCGACTTACAACTACCCTGACGCCAAATAGTAACTAAAAGCTTTCAAACTTCAATGTTACATACTTCCGAAAGTTTACAGTTTTCAAAGACGGACCATAACATAAGTTTTAGGTGTGAAGTGGCTGGATGGAGAGAACTTTATGTCATGACCTCGCAGGTTTTTTGCCAAGTGAAAAAAACCGTTTCAGAGATAACATCAGAATAGAGAACTCTAAAAGCCGCATAACTTTTTTAAAAGGTCAGTCCTTTCAACGAATACGAGCAAACCGTAAAACTAGATACACCTGTAGTGTATTAATAACATTTGCATAGGCAGAAGTATTAACTACACGGTCAATTAACCACTGACAGATAATAAAAATGTTATTTTTTTATACCGAAAATAACATTTGTTTAGCTTGATTAACATGTTTTGGCCGTTATTCGCGCAATATAAACATGTTTTCCTTGTATCCCTACAATTTGAGAAAGTGAGTGAGGAGAGAGCACTTATTCGAAAGGGGGCTTGCTTGACGTTATGTTCAAGGGGATGGGCGCGTTTTCGCGGGTAGGCGCTAATTTGAGCGTGTACGTTTATTCGAGGAAATACGGTATCTCTACTGAGACAAACGTCAATTTACTTTACCCCAAGTCTTCTGCGATTTCGTCTATCCCTGGTCTCTTCTCAGGATCCTTTTGCGTACATTTTTGTATCATATCGTGAATATTTCGTCTGGTCACCTTAGCAAATTGTTCTTCGCGCCTTTCAGGATCTGGCCGTTCTCGCGTGTACATTTCACATAGGAGAACACCAAAACTGTAGATATCAACCTGATGATGACAAACATAAAATATAACGAATCCCATGCAATCCTGAATCGATTAATACGGAATAAATGTAGTGGAAACCTTATTCTTTCTTTCACCCCAGATGAGATAATAATTGATGGCATACATACAAAAAAATTTTTTATAATGGTGCAATGAAAGATGACGAATCGGATGCAATCCTAAATCGGTTAATGCAGAATAAATCCAGTGGAAACTTAATTCCTTCTTTCGCCTTTTTGATTAGATCAGAAAATAATATGAGGAAATACGAAGTTGTAATGGGANTTTGAATAGTTTGACGGCCGCGAAGTTAGGCAGATCGGAAAAACAGTGACTTCTTAATTATGACAGGTATAACGTATTATTTAGCCAATGTACGGTTGCGAATTATTGACATTTGTGACAAGCTGTAGGCGCGGAAGAAAATTTAGTGGTAAACAATAAAAACAATAGAGGGTTTGTCTCGGAACTATCGGTCTGATAGTTGCCCCTTAGAAATTCGATGTTCTTAAAACTAGCATATTTGCCCTCGAAGCTGTGCTTCTCGGGCAATTATTTGTTTTAAGAACATCAAATTTCCGCGGGGCAACTATCAGCCGATAGTTCCTCGACAGAAACACTCTATTGTTTGAATAGTTAGAAAAAATATTCGAGTTTTCTCTCCCTTGCTTTGAATGATAAAATAATTTGTGAATAAGGTGAACTCAACAACTGACTGCTAGAATAGTTAATTTCACAAAGGTAAGTAAAAAAAATTACTGAAAATTACACTCTACAGTTAAGAGTACCACTGACCTTTAGGGTTTGTGCGTTAGAACGCATTTCTGGGGCGCTGTAACGCATATCCCACGGGGCAGTTGTCATGGTTTTCTGGTGGAAACTGGTGGCAATTGAAATGGTCAGCTTTGCTCTCCACTTGTTTTCTTGTCCCCAAAGTAGAACGTTATCACTGGTGATGTTGCGATGAATGATGGGAGACGGTTTCTTCTGATGAAGGTAGCTTATCGCCCCTGTAACATCCTGAGAAATACGAGAGATTTCTGTTACTGTGAGAGACTGCTCGTCTAGCAATGTTCGCAAACTCGATTCCATGAGCTCTGTTACCAGCAGAGGCCTTACATCTCCAATGTTAACCGCTCCTATGAACTGCACTAAACAAGGGTGGCGACATCTTGAAGCAATATTTATGGTTTCTTCAAACAGGTTGCGGTTGTGGGAGGAGACGATGTGATCATCGATCTTTTTCACGGCAATTGCACCGCCACAATATTTCCATTCATAAATAATTCCATAGTCTCCACTAGGTAAGATTTTATCTTTCCTTAGCTGAATTTGGTCGCATGGGATGTTCCAGTCGGCTGATCCTTGGGAAAAATCAATTCTGCATTCTTTCGTTTGCTTTCCATGAAAATTCTCCAGCTGAGTAATTATTCTCTGAACCTCAGGTCGCTCTTCAGGTTTGGACTGAACACATTCCTTGACTAGGTCTTCAAATATGGGGTTTTTCACTTGAGAAATAAATTTCTGCCGATTTTAGGCATCTGGCAGCTAACCAACGCACATTTCTAAGAGGAGAACACCAAAGCTGTATACATCAATCTGCCTAGAGGAAAAATTTTCCAACTTTAGCACAACGATTTCTCTCAGAGCTCAAGTTTGGTACCACTTGGGTGGGGAAAGGGGGCAGTGATTTGCAAGATTGCACAAAGGTAACTTTACTGTAACAGACATTTACTACTATGAGCACGACAAAATAACTTAAAGTAAGAGGTGAGTTACAGATAGCTCAAGACCATTATAATTAAATTATAATGGTCTTGAGCTATTAATATTATTAATATTATTAATATTAATATTAATATTATTGGATGGTCTTATGACCACAAAATAAGCTTTGGTAACAATAATTTTTAGCCCAGCGTGGATGGCTATCTGACTAGATTTTTACAGTGAAATGCTCTGCCCCCACAAAAGCATCTTAACACACGAGTAGTTGATCAATGCTCAGATTCATGTTTGTTATCTCAAACACCAAAAGGGGGAACCTGCCAATAACACTTCATAATATTTTGAAAACTTTGAAACCAATAACAATCTAAATCAGCAGGCCATTTCCGAATTACCTTTAGCCTCTTTTTCAAAACGAGGCCTGGTGCTCGAAAAGGAGTGAAAATGAGTTTAATTTACCTGAATGGATGAGCACCAAGACACGCTTTGAAGAACAGGCTAAAGGTAATTGGGAAATGGGATATTGATAGGCCCTCGACTGAATAGCGTAGATCAGAATCTCTTCCATCTAACGAACAAATCCCCATCCGTTCTTATATATCTTTTTTTGGCTGATAGATGCGAAAGAATGAATTATGGCAGGAGAAACGCAGTTTGCCTCATAGTTTTAACCTCTACAATTTTAGTGTGAGGAAAATCTCATAAATGAACTTGGATAGGAACATCTGACCTTGGTTGTATAAGTTTTTTTGTTTACTGCCTCAGGAGCACTGTAGACCGGATTTCCAGGTGCTGGTGTCTCTATTGACTTGAGAAAGTTAGCAGTACCATAATCCGATACCTTGGCTCGCCACTGGAAACCCTGTCGCCATAGCAACACATTTGCACTGCTTATGTCTCGATGGAGGATAGGAGGATTTTGCTTATGAAGATAATTCAATGCACGTACCACGTCCAAAGAGACAACCGAAATTTCTATGTTGGTGAGAGATTGCCGCTCTAACAACTGTCGTAAACTCGATTCCATGAGTTCTGTTATAATAAGTGGACTTTTGACATCGTATGTAGCTCCAATGAACTGCAGCAAACAGGGGTGGCGGCATCTGGAAGCCATCTTCATTTCTCTTATAAATAATTGGACGTAATAAGGCGTTAGTATTCGGTCGTGAATCTTCTTCACAGCAACCTTGCAGCCTCTGAAATCTCCCTCTAAAACTTCTCCCCAACCACCTCGCCCAAGAGACTTCTTCGAAATGCATATTTCATCAAAAGAAATGATCCAGTCCCACTCATCTAGTGTTTGCAGCTCGCTTTGTTCCTTCACCGCATTTGGTTCACTTGGTAGATCAACTAACCTCTGATTGGCTTCCTTGTTAGTCGGTTCTTGTTCATCTTTCTTTCTATCTCGTTCTTGTTGTTCGGGAACTTTCATTAATGTGTTCTCAAGGTCACCAATTCTTTTTTCATGCGTTTCCCGTTTATTCGGCGTCTCAGGCGTCAATCTTTCCTCTGAACCATTTGATCCTTTTTCGCTTTGTCGCGGTGTAAAATCTGCAAAACGGTTGATAATAGGGACTTTAACCAAACCACGACAGCTACGACAACGAGAACGTGGAAAAACAATAGATCTAATTGGCAGAACAATAGCCCAGCACGTGCATTTTAAGACTTTGTACATTTCTTAGCCGTCCTTTTGAAAAACAACAACGTGAAATCACCAAAATTTGCGTCGTCTAAGAAGCGAAACCGCGGCGGCGAATTATTTTCATTTGCACTTGGGACTCAACGCTACTTTTATGCGTTATGTTGAGTTTGAGGTCCTACACCCTATGAGACGGTAAACACATGCAGCCATTTTCGAAATTCAAACTAAAAGTAGAAACTCATTTTCTAATCGACGTCTTTCGTGGCGTTGCCGTCCTGACTGCTTAAAGTCCCTAATAGGTTAGCATTGGGTCCACGATATTCATGTTTAGTTTGGGGAAAGGTTGCCCTTTGAAAACCATATTCTAGACAACAGCTTCCAAAGTCATTACACAGTGCATTTATACGCGAAAATATGGGGTAGCGTATACTTAGAAATTTTACTTGGAAGTTGATAAAATTAAAGAGATTCACTTTGCTTCGCATAATACATTTACCACACATATGACACGAAGCTCATACCTTTTTCCCGATAATTCTCTTCAAGTTCATCGTTCTTCTCGTTCAAGATTTCTGTGGGTCGCTCTTCATAAACTCTTTTCTCTCTTCTCTGTGTTTTCTCAAGCCGTTCTTCACTTTCCATTCTGTTCGGTAAGCACACTGTATGAGACCTCACCAATGGTCGTCTTCGACTTTGAGTTCCTCTCACACCGAACCCTGATTACACAAGCACAAAAATCAGATCATGGATGAGGCAAGTCTAAAAATAAACTTCCTGAAAGGTGAAGCGGAGCGCGGGAGCCTCCAAATTACACTGGAAGGATCCTCTCAAATAAACGCTCAACGCCTGCGATATCGACCATCGACCATCAATTTCGGAGAAGCCGGACCGAACCTTCATTTACAGCCTATGCCGACAACATTCCTGTCTCGTATCGGCCTCGAAAGCCAAAAAAAAACCCTATCCCGAAGGTTATTTGAAATTTACGTATGATCTTTAATTCAACCACAGTTAAATTCAAATTATGACTTGAATTATTATACACGAAACGTAAGATTCTCCAAATAAGTTTGGAAAGCTTCATTCAGACTTCGACCAAGCAATTTAAAATTCCAAACCTTCGAAGCTTTTGCCGCACAAAACATTTCCCTTATTCATAAAAACTATGCTCGTACCTTTATCCTTTACCTCCAGTTCAGGTTTATAGTTCTTCTTTGAAACGTCAGCGGAATACTCTTTTGGAACATTTTTTTCTCCTTTTGGTCTCCGGAGTTCTTCGAGCCATTCTGGATCTACATCTGACGAACGCACTGAATCAAAATTCCACCGTTGTCGTCTTGGTCTTAGAGTCTCTGCACCTATTTCAAACAGTTTGTAAAAGGACAATTGATGGATGGGTTTCTCTTTTCTTATGGCTAATAAAATAAAGAGTTTATGTTCGCTGGCATCGATATGTTTTGAGCCTGACTTAAGGTTATTTTAGCCCTAAGTCAGACTAGTGCAGCCGTTAGGAGAGGGTTAATATGATTTCCGAGAAGAGCCCAAAACATATTTATTCCCAAGAACATTAAAAGTATTACAATGTAAGTATGTATTACTTTTGAGGGCTCTGAAAAAATAAAAACTGAAAAAAACAAATGACAATAAAACAGTCTGAACTATGAAGCGAGCGTGCGAGGGGGCTAAAATAGGTTGTATCCCGTCAGAATTACCATTTTAGCCCTCGAAAAGCCCCACAATGTCCGACAAAGTGATAATAATTTTCCTTCAGTCATATCTTCATTTCTCATACCTCCCGTAGCTGTGCATGGTCTCACAAGCACATCCTCATTGTACATTTCACTTTTACTCGTTTCCTGCGGAAGAGATAAGCGTTTTGATTCTCAGATCTCTTTTCGGTTAGCGATTGTTTATTTGTTTTTAGCTTGTGAATTACTGTCTCCATCGCCATCGCCATCGCCATCGCCATCGCCATCGCCATCACCAACCAGTATCTTCATAATCAACATCAACATCATAATTTTTATCGTGGAGGTACTTAAACTTTCTAGATTCCCTAGAAAAACTCAGGTATAAATAAGCCAAACAAGGCTGGGTGGCAGACCGTAGTCGTCCATCAAGTATTGTCTAGCTGCTTTAAAAATCTTTGTCATACCTCCCGACTAAAACATGTTTTCCGATTGTGGGATAAAGTGTCCAATACTATCATGGTAAAAAACTCACTTACACCAAGGAGAGAGAGCTTCAACTTTGGACTTGCACATGATAAAGTTCCACACCTTGAAACCGCGGCAAGTAAGGTGAAGCCCATATATTATTTGTTCTACTTTTTAGGTTGGACGGGCGAAAACCGTGAGTTTGTGTCCTCTGATAGTCTCAATGTCTCCCAGTAAACTCACTGTTTCATTCTCAAGACATGACATTTCCATTATAACACTAAAAGGAAAGGACCCACCGTATCCTAAAATAGAAGATGCCCTATAATTTTCAGTAATTTAAGATTAACAAATGGTAAAAACCGCAACGTGCACTTTTGAGATATGCATGCACGCGGGAGGTTGCTAAGCACGAAAGAATGTAATAGTCGCGCGAGGCGATAGCCTCGAGGCGAGAGCGACTCTAGCTTCGAATTCTTGTTTACCATTTTTTTTATAAGATGATATTGACAAATTATAGCAAAAGATTCTCTTTTTATCTAACAAATCTTACGTGAGCAGAAAAAACAGGCGTGCGAAAACTAGTCTTTGCATTTGTTCACGTCAGCGGCGACACACATGGATAAGTGATGAACACTGAATTGACCAATCAGAGTGTACGCTTTACTTTGATTACGTTATAATTTGATTTTGACCCCGCCTATATCAAGGTGTACATAGAATAATTTCTTTTTTCACCTTTTGGGAATATCCCATGGCTGTTTTTGGTCTCACTTGTGCGCTCTCCCAGCAGCCTTCTCTTCCATGTCTTCGTTCCTAAAAGTAAAATCCGGAAGTTTGCTCAGGGTTCGTTTATCGGCTGGCAAGTTAGTGTTTGTGGTTGTTGCGTAACGGCATGTTTGTTGACACGCGTAGGCATACATAAGGATAAGTTTCTCAGATGACTCGGATGGCACTCTTAAGATGATATCCAACATCTGTAGATTCCTTTACGGATGTGATACGGGCCAATAGTTTACAAAACTGGGCTTAATCTGTTTCACGTTAAAGAAAGGAGTACGTATGATGCACGATCCTCGCAGTAGATAATACCGCAGTTCAAAATATATGAACTTCATATATTTATTCTATCTCAAAGAAAGGAGTGTGCTAGAATGCTAGAGATATGGAATCTTGAGCCGATTAAAGCGAGTAATATTTGAAAGATAAGGCAAGGCATTGAAGCATTTAGAGTTGCTGAGGGAAGACCGGAGACCACTGAATTTAACTTTTTCTATGATATATTACTTGCATACGATTTCAAGACTCGATTGTAACTAGGACGGTGTAAACTGCAGGTAATTTAACTTAAAGGTGATTCCAGTCCGAATTGCACAAGCTAAGCTAAGCACTCGTTTGTGACAGCTCACTCGATAGGAACCTCTTATTCGTTAGGAACCTCCTATGTTATCTTTGAGGCATTTGAAATTATTTTTCCATCAATTTCTATGATATTTACATAAACAGAGGTGTTAAATCTAGTGGTGCCAGAATTAACAGAGCATACACCTTCGCATCCGTAATGACGACTGACAAGGGAGGCAAAGGAGAAAGAGCATGGAAATGGGTTTAACTTTTTTAACATCTTTACTTGAGACTGCGATGAGAATTCGAACTTGTTTTCGTTTTGTTTTCGTTGTGGCACATATTTCTGAAAGTTTATTTGATATGATTACCTCTCCACGTGCTCTGACCTCGGCATCGATTACACCACGCGTGATTACATGACGCGCGAACAAGGACTGCATCGGACAGTAACTAAACCGGCCTTTTATTGCAATTGAAGCTTTCAAACATGATTAAAACTTAATCAACGGTGCGAAATAGGGAATTTACAAACAAAAATTACTAACAATGAAAAATGAAATTCACTATCATAGTTGAATCACTGCGATACTTTAAAAACAATCGGCACAACCTTAATAACTGCAGGACTCAAATGATTTATTTCGAGAAAAATTCAATTTGAGTAAAATCTGTCCTTCAACCTGCCACCTGAGCACAAATTTGGCGAGCAATTTTTAAAAGTAAGATGTGAAGTTTATGCTGATTGAATCAAATAAACCTTTTAAAACTGCCTGCTCGTCTTGATACATGTAGTCAGCACAGTTGAAACGAAAAAGTGTGTAATGCTACATTCACAGAATTTACAACATTATTTAAAAGCTCATGAGCAATTTTTATTGTACTAAAGCAATTATCCCGGCCGAAGGCAAAGTGAATAATGTTAAATAATCCCCTCGACTTCGTCTCGAGGATTGTTTACCGAATAAGTGCTAAACAATTTTCTTGTTTTGTTGTAATTCCATTTGTGTGAGAATTGTTTCATACAACAAAGTATTCTTCGTTTTTTAATATTCTGTTAATCCGTGCGTTAAGATACTTCGCCATTCCGCCTATCCGCCGTTCCATCCTTTCATTAAATAGGGTCACCCTGTCAACTCAAGGTATCGTATTTCGCAACTTTCTCGCTACGCAAATATTTAGTTGTTTTGGGTATGAGTCGAGTCGCTGATTCAAACGGTAAAATGTTCTCTTAATAAAATTCCCTCCAAATTTACATGATGTGCAGATCACATCAATTGAGACATTTCTGCTTAGAAAAGTTTTGATTCAAATTCTGGTTCGGTGGATGCCACTTGAGATTGTCATCGTCTTTTAGAGTGTCACGGCAAGAACTGCAAAAATTATATTATCAGATCTACTAAGCATAATTCGCAGATTTAAACGGTAAAATGCTCTATTCAACAAAAATTTTTTCTTCCAAATTCTAAGATGCACCGATCACACCTGTGTTCAATCACGTGCAATCATTTTGTAATCACTAGTATGATTACGGACCGAACATGATTTATTATCATTACCATTATGATTATTACATGTACTATCCATTCTAATAATGATTTGTGACTTGCAATCTGTGCTCTCTTCCCTTACAATAAGGCTAGGTTCGATAATTGGATGAATAAGTCTGTCATTTAAAAACAAAGCCAAATTAAACTGCAGACACACGTTAATTAGTATGCAGTTCTGAGGTTTACTCCCGTGTTCTCAACTTTATTGTGATTGGTCAAAACTTGATAGACCTGTTATTAGACTTGAAAGCATCAGATCAAAGTGAACATGGTCTTAAATTAAGTAAGGACACCCCGAAACTCCATCTCAAGTAGACTGTGTCGGCACGAACCTTCAGCAGATCTTAAATTGTTAGTAAAATTAGCTTCATGAAAATGAAGTTTACATTACGACTGAATGACCATGAATTAATGGTAATGTAATTGTAATTAATTATTGACCACGAATTGCACGGCCCAACAAACTGGCAGATGGGAAAACTTGCAACCGCTCATAATTTTATGAGGGCTGAATACATGAATGGCTTATATATGTTTTTGGCTGTCTTGAAAGCAAAAACTGTGTCACGAACACCCTTGAAAATCTTATTTTATCTAACTCAAACGGCAGATGAATAACCGGTCATTGTTTACAGCAATTTACGGTAAGGCGACGGAAGGTCTTTTTTTTCTGTTGTAAACCGGAGGACGCGCACAACCTCTCAACATTTGGAATCTGGGGTATTCAGCTTTATAATGTCGTTTCATGACGTATTTTGATAAGAACTTTAAGACCAAAAATGAGACAGCTGAATATATCCAACCGATGCTAAACACCGTTATAAACGTTTCAATCCGACTGATATAAAAGTTATAAAATAGTGAAAACTTACTGTTTCATTTTTCTTTTGGGTATCACTGAAACCTACATTTCAAATTCGCATTCTTCGCCTGATTAATAAAGTAACCTAACCTTTCTTTCATCTTGGCCTTGTTCGTCGGAGTGCGAGAGTGACCTATATCCTCTTTTCTCTAGAAAAGTTGTCTCCGAAAACTGTATGGCTTTAGCATCAGAAGACTCCACCGCTTCTCGGCTTTCTGAATCCCTGTTTGGGCGAAATCCTCCTTCCAAATCAGCCGGATCATACATTTTTGCAGATTAATCTTGCAAAAGTATAGATCTTCCTCTCAGTTTCGTTTCCAACTTTTCAGAATCCCAGTCGCTTATGAAGAGTATGTTCTTGTAGTGGCTCGAGAGTTATGTAGTATTTATCGTTCCTCTTTCTTGATTCGTTCTTACTTTTGTAAAAGGTAACGGTGCAGTTGATTGTTTTCAAATTTACATGATACGCGTAGGGAGAAGAAATATGACGCGCGTCTAATGAAGGGCGCTGTTTTTAGCGTTCTGTGACAATCTTATGACAATCTTATGTACAATGTCATCAAAAGTTGACAGTTCGCTATTGGGAGAGTCAGACAGCAAACTATTTGGTTTGTACCTAGCTCGATTAGTCATTAATGGTAATATATTTCAGAAAACGTTTTTAAGAGGTAAAGATAGATTACAAATAGAAGGATTCTACATCAGCGACTTGCTGGTATATCCGATTGTTTTGTTCTTACGAATTAGACCTTATTCTAAACGAGGGGGAGCGGTGACAAAGGGGATCGCGTGCACCCTAAGGGACCCCTGTTCTCCGCCCTTGATTGAGTTCCAACGAAATGCACCAATAAGGGCTCTTGTTTAGGCTGCTAATGAAATATAATGATTGGCAGGAAGTCTTGACCTGTTGACAGCAATAAGGAAATAAGAAACCTTTCCAAAAAAAAATTAGCATCTAAGGATTCTGATCACCATGACAGTGACACTACTTAGGTACTACTTCGCTACTTAGGTAAGATTTGTAAGTTATGAGTGAAAACCTAGGAAAAACTTTCCCAAGATGTTACCATTACTAGTGCCTCAGCAAATGCACACGGGCGTCTTTTTTTGTAAAAAAAAAACCGTCACGTAAAGGAGAAGACTTAGGAAGTAATTAACCCGGACGTTTCTAAATGAATCAACGCGTAACACAACCCCTCACCACTATTACTACGTGCCCTTGAGCACGATGTGTCGCAGATTCCAATCAGACAGTTTTACTCATTGGAAAACAAGAAGTTTCTCGGAAGTAGAACAAATTTGAACATTGCAAATATCTAGTTTTGATTCTTTATGTGGGACGTTTATATCTTGTGCGGGCAGTTTCCTGTTCGCTTCGAAGTCTGATTAGGGTATTTCAACTGATAATGATCTTCAGGTTTCAGGGCCCACCGTGGGCCTTTAACAGTCAACTCTCGATAACTCAAACCCTCAGTTACTAAAATCTCGCGCTAACTCAAACCAAAATTGATTTCCCCTAGATTTCCGTCACACATTTACTACAGTTTTACCCTCGGCAACTTAAACCCTCGATAACTCGAACATCCCGCTAACTCGAAGCAATTGTCGTTTCTCTTCAGGTCACTCTCTGTATATTTTTGCCCTCGATAACTCGAACGGCACGTCTGTCAATACACATCCTCGGAGACCCAGGGGCTGTCGGTCGATTTCAAGTTAGGGCATGAAGAGCCCCTGGGGACATTGTCTTACAAGACTAGTTCCAAATGGTCGCAGTCGTTCTGCCATCTGATTGGTGCCAGAAAATCTTTGTGTTTTTCTGCCCAATTAGAGTGAAGTGTGTTTTAGAGTCCTTTCGTGTGTTTTAACACGGACATACTCTAGTAGCTCAGTTGCTCACTATGTTTGTTTGGACCGTGTGACGGAGATTTGCTTGAGGTGAAAAGTTTCAGTCTCAGCACACAATGTAAGAGAAATCGATCAGATTGTCCGCGAAAATCTTACCGGAAATTATAGTGAATACTTTCGCAGGTATCACCATAGAACGTGTTTTAAAGTTTGCGAGGTTTGTATACAACACGATGGTTGCAGTCATTGACGTGTCGCTTTAAACGTTAAACGAGATTTAAGCTTAAATCTTTCTAGATTTTTTGCATAATTTGCTGTGACTGAAACTTTGCCAATCCCGTGAAGTTATTTCGTCGCACGGGCCACGTAGATATGTCGAGCAACTGGTAATTGCGCAACTTTCTGTGCGTGCCAAAATCAAATCTCATCTTCGCTTGAAAAAAAAGAAAAGCTAAGCGTGGAAACTTTTGCTTATTAGATGTGGGTAGATGACCCTGTACTACTAAGCTGACATTTGCAATAAAGCAAACCCGCCCTTTCCATCCAATATTTCTTGGTCTTTGGTTTTGTTTTTCCCATTGAAAACAGCATCGGATCGATTCCCAATGATCAAAGGTATTTAACTTGGTCTTCAACAATCGACAGAAGAGGTGAAATGACAATGACCAAGGGACTAGAAGAGAATCCGTGGCCTTCCTAGCTCAAGAATTTCAACACTCTAGACAGCAGTTGAAAGATTAAACTCTTTCCAAACCCCTTCGGTAACTGCCCGAAAACATCTCTCCTTCCCACGATGTTCTCGTTAATAAGTTTTTGTTCAGATTTTAATTAGCTAACCGGAAACACAGCTAAGCTTTCTCTTAGCACTTGCTGGAGGTCGTCCACGAACTCAACGTTCTCTGCAACCTTGGCCGTATTGTCTTTACTACTAAGATTAGATTTTGGCGCGCACAGAAAACAGAAAGCTATCAGCAGGCATACAGTCAAACCTGGATATTGACGATGTTGTCATCCCAGCTAAAATGTCCGTTCCTGATGAGTTTTGTCAGCAATGCTACAAATTTTTCCCAATGAATGAGCTCCGGCAGCACTTAGATGTTTGTGTACCTTTTGATGCACAACCAGGTGCATCTGGTGACCAAGACAACATTACTGGAAAAAATGTTGTCGAGGAACCTCCCAAAGAACAGATTGATCAGGGTGACAAAGAAGTGATTAGTGAAGAAAGTGAGGTAAGCATTGTCATTTTGTAACATAGTTTTCAATTATGATGGTAATACCTTGTGTGTTCATAAACAGTTGGGATGGCTCTATCTTCTTGGTTGCTTTTTGCTGATGAATTGGACTGTGGAATACCATGCAGGAGTGCAATTTATTAAGCTTATCTTCAGTTACAATTAAGTTAGTTTTCATTGCTATGTTAATTACATACGAGTCAAATCCTGCAGTGCCCATGGCCCCCCTGGGAATTTAACATTTTCGAAAATTCAAATCCTCAACCATACCAGAGGTTTCTTTTGTCAAATACTCCACTATTGGGGCTCAGTCGCACTTGAGCAAACCTCGTTTCAAAGAACCATGAGATGTTCGAATTCAGATTTTGTTTGTTTTTGTTTTGGTTTAGCTTTGTGTAGTGTACACTACATGTCAGCTAGTGTTTACCTCAGTTTTTTTCTACATAAATAACAGTAGACTCTAAATCTATCTGCAATAGGTTGCTGAACAAAAGGTGGAAGATGTCGTGATGGTTGATGAAGACAGTCTGATGAATAGCACACACAACACAGAAGTGCCTGTAACGGAACAACCTATTAAAATAATAAGGGTTCATAGATCGTTAGTCAGGCAAGATATGCTAGATATATTTTCTGATGAGTCGATCTTAAAATACACTTTATCTGTCATTATTATTAATCAGCAAGGTAATGAAGAATCTGGGGCAGGGACTGGACCATTACGGGAAATATTTTCACTTTTTTGGAAAGATTGTTATGAATCTCATATGCTAGGTGAAATTGAAAGAGTCCCATATATCTGTCATGACTTCAACAGAAACAAGTTTGAAGCAGTTGCTAGAATCATAGTTAAGGGATATAAAGATTGTCAATATTTCCCTGTGAAGATTAGTAAGTCCTTTTTAGTGGCTTGTCTTTTTGGAGAAGAGAGTGTGACTGATGGGATGTTGATGAGTTCATTTCAGAATTATGTATCAAGGTCTGAGGCTGATGTTATAGGTAAATGTTTAAGCCAGAGTATTCAGCCCGATGATGATGAGCTACTTGAATTTCTTTCCACATTTGACTGTAAGAGACAAGTCACAAATGACAATATCAGAGAATTGGTTACAGAGATCGCTCACAAAGAGATTATCATGAAACCGCAATATGCAGCAGATTGCTGGAAGGAAATAGTTTCTTCTTTGAAGATTTATTTCATGGATGTATCTTCCTTTTTGGTGTTGTATGATTCTATCATGGAAATGAAACTGCAACATCTCTGCTTTGATTTTCTG